ATAGACCAAACACTACACAGAGTTGACGACACGATTCAGACTACAAAACACCAGCGGGGTGACACAGATATAGACTAAACACTACACAGGGTGACACAGATATAGACCAAACACAACACAGGGTTGACGACACGATTCAGACTACAAAACACTACACAGGATGACATAGACTAAACACTACACAGGGTGACACAGATATAAACCAAACACAACACAGGGTTGACGACACGATTCAGACTACAAAACACCAGCAGGGTGACATAGACTAAACACTACACAGGGTGACACAGATATAAACCAAACACAACACGTAAAGTATAAAATATACACGGAACTGAGACATGTGAACAGAGAATAGCGGGATAACAAGAATTAAGGCTACACAAAGGGCATGCAGATCAAAAGGATCAAGACAGACACGTAATACGACAGGCACGAATCTCTGGCAAAACAAACAGATAACGAGATGGATTGCATCAATTTGGAGTAACACAAAACTCCAAAATAAAATAACCTAGAGCACAAGCCCACACCACAAAATACAGAGAAAAATGTTCGATTCAAACACAAGACAAAGAAAATTGTTGATGAAAGCTACAAAGTGGAAGTCATAGAAAGGGAATGTACAACACTGCTCATAAAAAAGGGGAAGATTTTAGTGACGTAAACTTTGTTTGAAACTATTATATATATATATATATGGATTTAATTGTGTTTGTGGTTTTGTCTATGGCTTTTTCAAGGTCATTAATTTGCATTCCATGTTCTTCCGAGTATGTTTTACATCTTACCAAAGGTAAGCGGTAAAAGAATAATGCGGCTTTAGTGTTTGCACTTGATGACGTCACGATCACATGCACTACTACGTTTTTATAACACGAAGACAGTTATGAGGCCAAAAGTGATGGATGACAGACACTATAATTACGTAAACTGCCGCTAGATGAGAGCACTGTCAGTGTGAGTTAAAACGACACATTTGTACATTATCATACAAATTACTGCTCAAAAAAATTGGTTATTAAACATCCGCGTGCACAGTATAATAACAACTTCAACAGAAGACCGACGAACGAAAGTCAGTCGTCCCAAGCAATCATTTATACAGTAGCAGACTAAAAGGCGGCGCCATGGCTCGAGCTGGGCCAAAGGAGGCACTGGTTATTAACACCATATACAGGTAGAGGTGGCACGAGAGTCTTCGAAACTGGTTTTTCTAGGTTTTTTTTTTTTAACCATTTTAAATTCTGTTATCACAACCTGCCAGAAATTCTCCTGGTAATTCTATGATCTGGATGACTTTTACCCTTTCGCATAAATTATTTAAAAAAATATCTGTCAGCCTCTATTAAATCCTGACACAGACAAATATTTAATTAATATATGTATATGAATGACGCTTGGCGTAGCAAGAAAATCTGAGACCTAAAATGGATCACCACAAATTATTAAATCACTGGGATTAGAGAGCAAGATGATGAAGTAACAAGAAAACTTGAGACCTAAAATGGATCATCACAAATTATTAAATCACTGGGATTAGAGAGCAAGATGATGAAGTAACAAGAAAATCTGAGACCTAAAATGGATCATCACAAATTATTAACTCACTGGGATTAGAGAGTAAGATGATGAAGTAACAAGAAAATCTGAGACCTAAAATAAATCACCACAGATTATTAAATCACTGGGATTAGAGAGCAAGATGATCAGGTAACAAGAACACTTGAGATCTAAAATGGATCACCACAGATTATTAAATCACTGGGATTAGAGAGCAAGATGATCAGGTAACAAGAAAACGTGAGACCTAAAATGGATCACCACAGATTATTAAATCACTGGGATTAGAGAGCAAGATGATAAGTAACAAGAAAACTTGAGACCTAAAATGGATCATCACAGATTATTAAATCACTGGGATTAGAGAGCAAGATGATAAGTAACGAGAAAACTTGAGACCTAAAATGGATCATCACAAATTATTAAATCACTGGGATTAGAGAGTAAGATGATGAAGTTACAAGAAAACTTGAGACCTAAAATGGATCATCACGTATGATTAAATCACTGGGATTAGAGAGCAAGATGGTGAAGTAACAAGAAAACTTGAGACCTAAAATGGATCATCACGTATGATTAAATCACTGGGATTAGAGAGCAAGATGGTGAAGTAACAAGAAAACTTGAGACCTAAAATGGATCACCACATATTATTAAATCACTAGGATTAGAGAGCAAGATGATCAGGTTACAAGAAAACTTGAGACCTAAAATGGATCATCACAGATTATTAAATCACTGGGATTAGAGAGCATGATCAGGTAACAAGAAAACTTGAGATCTAAAATAGATCATCACGAATGATTAAATCACTAGGGTTAAAGATCAATATCACTTACCTTAACGAGGTCAGGGATCGAAACAAAATTTGTGATTATTTTTTCACTAAAATTAATTTTCATCGTCGCTTAAATGATTAAAAGACAATTACATAAAACACATGAATATTATTTACACATCTTTTATAGATAGAAAATGGCCAATCTGCACTGGTAGTTATTGTAAAGGAATGATACAAAACAACAACACAGTATTTACAAAACAACAATACACGGTATTTAAAAACAACAACACAGAAGTTACAAAACAACAACACAGAATTTACAAAACAACAATACATAGTATTTACAAAACAACAATACACAGTATTTACAAAACAACAATACACAGTATTTACAAAACAACAATACAGTATTTACAAAACAACAATACACGGTATTTACAAAACAACAATACACGGTATTTACAAAACAACAATACACGGTATTTACAAAACAACAATACACGGTATTTACAAAACAACAATACACAGTATTTACAAAACAACAACACAGTATTTACAAAACAACAACACAGTATTTACAAAACAACAACACAGTATTTACAAAACAACAATACACGGTATTTAAAAACAACAACACAGAATTTACAAAACAACAATACAGTATTTACAAAATAACAATACATAGTATTTACAAAACAACAATACAGTATTTACAAAATAACAACACAGAATTTACAAAACAACAATACAGTATTTACAAAACAACAACACAGTATTTACAGAACAACAATACACAGTACTTATAAAACAGTATTTAACAAACAAGAATACCAAGTCGACAATTATTGTTTGTTGAATAAGCATGGCGTACTCCAACGATATGAACAGATTTCAAGAGCAAGACGCACTCGAAGTATACAGTTATATGTCAAGAGAAAGCGTACTCCACGGATATAGACACATTTAAACAGCATGATTAACCCCCAGTTATATGGCTATATTTCAACAGCATGACCGACTTCAATCATATCTGTATACTTATCAGTGATACTGGTTTTAGTTTCAGTTGAACCTATAAAGTAACTTACCTGTTCATACTTATCTAATTCCTGATGATATATCTGTCTTATTTGTGCTAGTTTTGCCCGGTAATCTGAATGTTCGATTGTATTTTCGGGTTGTCCTGGTCCGCCAGAGGCCGCTGCTGAGGCATTTGCTGCAGCTCCAGCTCCCCCACCTTTCTCTGGTCCCGCTACACCTTCAGCTATTAGCATGTTGTCTAGCCGCATTAGCTGTGGGTCTGGGGGTTCTTCCTCTTGTGTATTACGTAGACTTAAAACTAGAAAATATAAAAAACAAAAGTTTCAATCTTCTTCTGTGTTATGAATTGCAGTTTTCTTGAAATAAAAAAGAATGCTAAGAGCAGCAAAATTACCATAAATATGAATATTTTATGAGCCAATAATTTTAAATGTTACACAACGACTCTGGATTCTCAGACACAATGACAACAGATTCTCAGAGACAATAATTCTGAATTCTCAGACACAATGACTCTGGATTCTCAGACACAATGACAACAGATTCTCAGAGACAATAATTCTGAATTCTCAGACACAATGACTCTGGAATCTCAGACACAATGACAACAGATTCTCAGAGACAATAATTCTGAATTCTCAGACACAACGACTCTGGAATCTCAGACACAATGACAACAGATTCTCAGAGACAATAATTCTGAATTCTCAGACACAACGACTCTGGATTCTCAGACACAATGACAACAGATTCTCAGAGACAATAATTCTGAATTCTCAGACACAATGACTCTGGAATCTCAGACATTGAAAACCAAACTAAAAGGCAATCATTTAAAAGAACAAATGAAGGATGTGAAAATGTTCATATTTTTATCACGTATTGGAGAAGAAAAACACCCCCAGTACCAGGATGAAACATGAAAATTATTAATAAATATAAAACACCTGTAGTACCAGGGTGAAATATGACAATTATTAATAAATATAAAACACCTCCAGTACCAGGGTG